CGCCCACCCTATCCCCCAGCCCCTGCCAGGTGCCCTGTGCCCAGGGTGGACCCCCTTGCCCCCCACCCCAGGGAAGGGAAGGGTCCTCCCGTCGGCGATGCCCGCTGGAGGAAAGGGCTGCTCCGCTACCTGCTGCCCGTCCCAGCAGCTCTGTGCCCCCCTCCCCGATTTTCCTGCACAGGGACCACGTGCCCTGGTATGGGGGCGTAGGTGGCTGTCCCTGTCGGCCCGGGGTCCCTTCTCCCAACACCCTGTGTTGGGGTGGGACCTCCGCCTCCTGCTCCTCACCCTGCCCACCCTGCCGTCCCGCTCCTGCCCACCCTCCGGCTGGCACCCAAAAGGCGGGTCCCACCAGATGAGGGGCTGCCTGGCCTCTCTGGGGTCCCCTGTCCCCTGGCTCTGGTGGGGGGCCCTCAACAGGCCACCCCGGGGCAATCACCTCCCAGCAACCCCATCCGAGAGCCGGTCCCTGCTGGCTTGGAAATGCTGTATATATAAGTCTATATTTTTTCCTCCTTTGTAACTTATCAATGGTTTAATAAAAAGATAAAATTTACAAGAAAAAAAATATAATAATATCCCTCCCCCAAACCAGGGGGACACGGGGTGGTGGCCGGAGGGATGTCCCTGTGGCCAGGGGGGTGCTGGCCCTCAGCCCCAGTCTCTCTGGGGACCTTCCTGGGGCCCCCTCCCTGCCATGGGGCAGTTGGAGAGGCCGTGGGGCAGTTCTCCCACAGCTCACCAGTTATTACTGGGGCGGGGTGAGGGGGGGGTGTCTTCAACCCACTGTGCTAGAACCACCCTGGGACCTTTGTGGGTGGGCTGGGGGTGGTGTACCCCCCCCCCAGCGTCCCCCCAGCAGGGTCCAGTCCCCTTGCTTGCATTGAGGTCCCCATGGGAAGGTACCCAAGCCCTGCAGAAGCAATGGGACCAAAGGGGGACAGCAGCTCCTGGTCCTCTCCGGCTGCCCGCTGCCTGGGGGTACCCCGCACAGCCCACCCATCACCCTGTGCCACCGTGTCCACCCCAGCGCACCCCTGGCCGGCAGCCTGGTTTGGCTGGCACGTGACACCACTGGCTGGGCTTCAGCTGGGCATCTGTGTCCATAAAGAGCCCAGCATGGACCTCCGGCCGGCCAGCATTCCTCCCTGGAGGGCCAGCCCCTGCCAGCTCTGGGGGGACGGAGGGCACGGCCAGGCATGGCCACAGGCATTGCATACTGCCATGGCAGCAGGGAAAACAGACACAGACAGAGTCATCCCCGCGGGTGCCGTTCCCCTGATGAGTACCACGGGTGACAGGAGCTCCTCCACCCCGATGTTAGTTTTGGGTTAAACAGCCAAGGATGGAGGGCTCCACGTTGGCCATCCAGGCTGAGCAGGGTGGCTGGCGCCCTGGTGTTACTGGTGTTAGTGGTGTTAGCTGGGCCATTGCTCCTGGGTAGGGTGGTTCCACGAGTGGTCCCAGCGGGGTGACGGAGATGGAGATGCCCTGTCCTCTGCCCCTGCATATGAGCCCTTTGGCTTCTCACGTCCCAAGGAGAGCCCGTCCACACAACTGGGCTGTGCTGGTGGAGCCAGAGACAATCCCAGCCTGCAGAACGGAGATGAGGCTTCCCCAGGTCTGCTGTCTTCTCCAGGCTGAGAAACTAGCTTCCACCATAAACTCAGAGAAGAGGCAAAACCCAAACAATGACCCCTCCAAATCCAAGAGGCTGGGTGCAAGCAGGTCTGATGGGTCCCTGGCAGGTCCCCTGCCCACCTTCCTGCCCAGCACAGTTGGACAGGACCCCCGGTCTTCAGCTGCTCTCTTCAGGAACTTGACCTGGGATGGGAAAGCCCGTCTTGGTCTGGTCCAGCCTGTTCCTGGGGCTGGGGCTGGGGCTGATGCAGCTGGCATGGGTCTCCAGTGTGCAGGTCGCTCTCTGGAGGAACTGCAAGAAGTTTTCCTGGACAGAGGCCTCTGAGACGGAAAGACAGAGCTCCTGGCCCAGCGGCCGGTTGAGACAGCTGCGCCGGAGCCGGGCCAGCTCCTCCCGGATCTGGCGGGTCAGCAGCCCGTAGAAGAAGGGATTGATGGCAAAGGAAGAGTAGGCAATCCAGGTGACCACCATCTCCCCGTGCCCACCACCAGCTGTGCCAGTGGCAACAGAGGAGTGCAAGTGGAAGGCAAAGAAGGGCAGCCAGCAGCACAAGAACTGTCCCACAATGAGGACCAAAGTGAGGATGGCCTTGTTGCTTCCCAAAAAGCGCTCTGGCATCAGCCTAGGCAGCGGCAGGTTCCTGGTGGTGATGATGGTCATTTGGCTGGCAATGGAGTCGGACCGGTGTCTCGGTGCAGCTGCCTGGGCTGGCACAGGCACATGCTGCTGGGATGCCATCCGAGCCACACGGTAGACACTGCAGTAGACAGCAAAGATAATGATGGTGGGCAGGACAAAGCAAACGATGCTGAAGATGATCACAAAAACCTTCTTGTGGGCCCCAGGGCTCCAGTAGACTGTGCAGCGGCTGGCGAGTCGGACCGGTGTCTCGGTGCAGCTGCCTGGGCTGGCACAGGCACATGCTGCTGGGATGCCATCCGAGCCACACGGTAGACACTGCAGTAGACAGCAAAGATAATGATGGTGGGCAGGACAAAGCAAACGATGCTGAAGATGATCACAAAAACCTTCTTGTGGGCCCCAGGGCTCCAGTAGACTGTGCAGCGGCTGGCGGGGGGCTGGCACTGGTGGCACCGCTGCCTTGAGGCCAGCCCACCAGTGCCAAGACGGTGATGAGAACAGACTTGACCCAAATGAAGATCACTCCGGCCACTGCCAGCCTGATGGTCATCTTGACCTCATACCTCATGGGGTGGACGATGTAGTAGTACCGCTCCACACTGATGATGGAGATGGTGAGGATGGAGGCACTGATGAAGCAGACGTTCAGGAATATCAAGGCCTGGCACTCGGCAATGCTGTAGATCACCCTGTTGAAGCAGGAGGAGCTGGAGATGATCCCCAGGGGCATGAGGAAAATGGCAGAAAGGAGGTCGACCACACAAAGGTGGCAGACGAAGATGAACTTCCTGAGAAGGGGGGTTTTGAGAATGACAACCATCACCACGGTGTTGGCCACCAGAGCGGTGAGGGTGAGAAGCACCATGCAGAGGAGGCCCATCACCTCCTGGGCAACGGACTGCTCGGGGACATAGCGTGGCTCTAGGCTGTCCGTGGTGTTCAGCCCCTTTCGGCTCGCCATCCCCATGGAGGGCTAAGCCAGCAGCACCGGTGCCTGGGCAGCAAGGGCTCTTCTCCTGCATCCCTTAGAGGGAAATCCCACCACAACCATGGCCGCTGTCTTCTCCTTGCCTGTTGGAGAAGAGAGTGGGGCGTGAAGGAGAAGGACCAAAATGAGGAAGAGCCACAGAAAAATCTGGAGACAATCTGAAGCCCCCACGAGATGCTGGAGAAGGGAAGAGGTGCCCAGCGAGGTCACAGCACCCTGCCTAGCCCAGGACTGGCACCTGGTCTGTCCCCAGCCTGGCCAGGGACGGCACTGTCGGGACCTGCGGGCACCCGTGCCAGGCTGGCACCCTGTCCCCCTGCCCCAGCTGCAGCCCCTCGCCCCCAAGAGGGACAGCACAAACCCTCCTGCCCCATCCCTGCTCCTTGCTCCGGCCACGGGGGAACCCCGGGGATGGGTGGGGGGGACCCAGCGCACCTTTGCTCCTGGGAGAGTGGGTGATGCTCCCCTCCTCGCCGGGTGTCCTTCTCTCCGGCGTCGCTCCCGCAGCAGAACACGGACTGC